AAAAAATGAACTTAAATGATTTTAGCATATGGCTGCAATATAACAAAGAGTGAAAAATTTAAGGGGGTCTGAATACTTTCAGTACCCACTGTATGTACTTTACTTGAGTGTTTCCATTTTCTGTTACTACGTGCTTTTACTTTCTACATTTAAGAGGCAAATATGTATTTGATAACTTTAGTTACTGTTTAGTATCAGATGAATAAGACAAAATACTGTATAATCACTGGACTTTATTGGGGTGTGAAATTCAAAGTTGTTGTTTTAATGTGGCTTTTTTGTTTGTTTGTTTTGTTTTTTTAGTTCTCTTTCAAACTGTGTAGATTGCTAATAATAAAAAAATGATAAATGATCGTTTAACAATCTGTAAATAATAGAGTAATAATTTTTGAACATTTTATCCAGTGTATCAGAATGCAGTAAAGTAGTGATCCAGAACTAGATATTGTCCTTCACGAAAATGTCAGCCTGCTTACATACAGGATGCCTTTATGGGTGAGTAAGCCTCAGGTGTCAACGTGAGGTGGCTTATTTTCATTCAGACATGCGGGTGGCAGTGATAGGAGCTGGAGTCATTGGCCTGTCGACAGCTCAGAGCATCTACGAGCAGTATCATTCAGTTGTCAGTCCACTGACCATTGAAGTGTATGCAGACCGTTTCACTCCACTGACCACTAGTGATGGAGCCGCTGGCTTCTGGCAGCCATACTTGTACGATAAGGGCAACACCCAGGAGACGTAAGTGCCTTCTTTCGACCTCTCTTTTGATTCTCTTCTTCAACTACAAAAGTGACCATCACTTCAACGCTGTGTTTGTCCTCACCTTTAGAAAATGGAATAAAGAGACCTTTGACTACTTGCTGAGCTATCTCAGGTCACCAGAGTCCATAAAAATGGGTATATTCCTTCAGTCTGGCTACAACCTTTGCACTGAACCAGCTCCAGTGAGTAGCACTTTGTTCTTGGACATTGTACACTAGATATGGCCTAAAAAATCTGACCTATTTTAGGAAGCCTTTTACAATCAAGAGCAAAGGTCCTGTGCAATGAAAAATGTAGATACAGCATAACATCAAATAACACATTCAAACATTTATAGTTCCACATACTAGTGCAGCATCTACAATAAACACAGCCCATCAATTTTCAGCCACACTGAGAGAAGAGCTTTGTTGACTGATTAACACAGCTGAGACATTGTTAGTGAATAATTGATATTGCTTCAGAGGTGATTTGCTTTTGATTGCAGGATCCCTCATTTAAAGATGCCGTCCTGGGCTTCAGACAGCTCACAGAACGAGAGCTGCAAATGTTTCCTGGATACAAGTAGGGTCTTTCTGAAAGACAAAACACCTACAGAACATAAAGCCTCAAGTAGCTTTATGTAATTAGCTATTTTCCTGTTATACCAAACATTTAACCCTTCTTAGATGGCATTATAAGACACTGCTGTAAATCAAAAATACAGCAGTACATCTTCAGCAAAGTAACTCATAACATTATGAACTACGCTTAGAATGAAAGGAAATGCCTGCACATTTTTTTAATCATGATAATGGGCTAGTTTACTGGCCTCCTTATATGATTTATTCATGAATATCCAAGTCATTCCTTGCACATTATCAGCATTCAAAATATCAATTTTTGTTTTTATCTCACTAAACAATATATTCTGTGGTTATAAACATACAGATGGTCAATTCTGGGTCATCGACTCTCACAGTCTAACACATCTGTCTTTATCCACATGTCCAGTTACGGGTGGTTCAACACTGCTCTTATGGTGGAAGGTAAAACATACTTACCTTGGCTGATGGATTGGTGAGTGATTAACTTATCTCTTATGTTACTTCCCAGGTTGTGTCATAATTTTTTAACTAGAATTTCACAAGTGCTGAGTTTACCTCAGTTCACCCTGGTGTAGCACTGTTGGCAACATCATTTATAACTCAATAAAAAGATGAAAAAAGCATGTGATTGCTTGTTATTTAAAGTTTGAATTGATTTCAGTGGCTTTTAAATTCCTAATTTCACATCAGAGATCAATAAACTTTATCTTGCACATTCAAGACATGGCCCAGGATTCGTTTTCTGTCTGTCTAAAGTTCTTTATCAATTACTAAATACAGTGTTTACCATTAAATCACACCACAGTGCAAAGTAGTGTACAAACAGTGGTAATTGAAAACCTGTAGGTATTATTTAACTGGTTCTTAAGTGAAATTTTTTTGTTTCAGGAGTGGTTTTCTAGTGCTTATAACATTCTGTGTTTTTTCCAGGTTGCAAAAAAGAGGTGTGAAATTTTATCACAGGAAAGTCAAGTCATTTGAGGAGGTTAGTGAGGGCTTTTCAGTGACATATACTGTATATGTTTTTATGCAGTTTTAGAAGTGGTATTCCTATCCAGTAAGTACTAAATCTGTAATTTCTTACCTACCCCAGGAAAGACTGTTGAAATGTTATCTCTTATCATATTTATTATCTCTTACTGTGCTTGCCTGCTTTTAGCTGGCAAAAACTGGGGCAGACGTAATCATAAACTGCACGGGGGTAAGATCAGGAGAGCTCCAGCCGGACCCAGACCTGAAACCAGGCCGGGGTCAGATAGTGAAGGTGAGAGTGAATATGTTCATGTGTCTATTTATAGTTTATATAACCAGCTAAAGCACAGTGCAAGTTGAACCATGTTATTCCACTGTGTTTCAGGTGGATGCTCCATGGCTGAAGCACTGGATTATTACCCACAATTTTAGCATGGGAATCTACAATTCACCATACATCATTCCAGGGTAGTGCTATAGTGACACAACACACATACAAACACTGAACTGTGGGGTCACATGGTCATTCCTCTCGTAATGTGTGTAGTGTTGATGGGTAGTATAGTAGTATTAATAATATACATAGTGCATGTTGCTTTGTAGTTTTAGTTTTGATATGAAATTTGACTGAGCGTTGCCACAGCACTTCTTTGGGTTGGTTTAAAATAATAATACTGTAGCGCTGTTGTCATGTTTGTCTGCAGGAGTCATCTGGTGACAGTCGGAGGGGTTTTTCAGTTAGGAAACTGGAGTGAACAGAACAACTCCACTGACCACAAGAAGATCTGGGATGACGCCTGCCAGCTCGAGCCTAGTCTCAAGGTGAGATGTTAACACAGAAGAGAGTGTAAAAGGATTTTCTGTCTCAACAGTGATTCATTATTTACAGTGAGTCTTCTGTAGTGCTAAATATTTAACATTTTTCGTTTTATATATTTAGAACGGTTATTCTGCAGTTCAGTTCTCAGGCATTTTAGTGGCAAGAAACTAGTTAAAACATTAAAATACTGTGAAATACAAATAGTAATTTGGTGTGATATTTATCTTAATAGTTCAATTCATTTTTAAAGTTCAAGTCTCTTGCTGTTCTCTAATCTCAGCATGCCAGGGTAGTAGAGGACTGGACTGGCCTCAGACCTACTCGCAGCAAAGTTCGACTGGAAAGAGAGACCATAAATTCTGGTGCAACTGCAATAGAGGTAAACTAACAGCTAAGCAGCATCTTAAACATGAATTTTGGCCATTTGGCCTCTACAGTATCATGGCTTCTATACAGGTGATACACAACTATGGCCATGGAGGTTTTGGACTCACCATTCAGCGAGGCTGTGCTCAGGAGGCAGCAAGGCTTTTAGGTCAGATCATGGAACAAAAAGGCCAGGGTCCAAAAGCTCGCTTGTAAATTTGTGAGTAGTGATTAGTGCACTCCTTTCTCATATATCATTAGTTCCTTGTATTGGTCTTGTCTATACTAACATTTAAAGCAAACCGATATCCAGTGTCATGTGTTTTGGGGCTAATAACATTAAAACAATGTCATTCAGACAGTATGTAATGGGAAATAGGAGACACTGTTCTCAGTTAAGAAATGGCTCATTCACAAGTAACAACATTTTTCTTTCATTTTTAAAAAGCATATATTTTGAAATTCGTCTTAGTAAATGTAGATAAAGTAGACAAACTTAATGCTAATGATTATACTTGATAAAATCACTGATTAGATTTTTTAGCAATAAATAACAGGGATCATTGCTCTTTTTGAAAGATAATTTACTATAGTATCATACACATTTACATCCAGTGCGTTGACAAGGATCTGTGCGGACACACACTTAATGCAGCACTATATCTCAAACACTGGCAGGTAAGAGTCGGCTGGCAGGACTTGTGCAAGTTCTTTTTTTTTTTTTAAACAACACTTTGCCCAGTATGTTCCTCGCAGAAACAGACACACCCTCATGTCTTCACCTTTGTTCCGAACAAAAGCAAAGACAACAACTAAACCAGGTATTGATGCACTATTTACAGAATGTAACATCCTGCCAAATGGTTGCGCATACACATGTAGGTTTATGTGTGCACAGCCTCAAAGTCTAGAGTCTGGTAAAGTAGAGCAAGAGATGTGGCACAGTTTATCAGTCATAACACCATATACTCATGTTAATGTCATTTAGTAAATTGTGTAATTATTAATTACTAGGTTGAGTCAGCTTTCTGTGATGAAAATACTCTGATTTAAATATCACAATATGAATTGACTTAGATAATGTTGTCTTCAGATGCAGTCAAATATCTGTGGACTCATTCAGGTTGTGCTAAATATATGAAATATTGTTCATATGCTGTCACTAATGTTGTTATGCTCAGATAGCTTCAGCACATTTTTCATCTTGTTGAAATAAAATGAACACGTAATGACCAAGGTGATAGTTTTGTTATTACTATAGTAATACCTGCTGTTAAGATGAAGAACATAATGAAGTAACCCTAGACCCTGTTTAATCTGACGGTCTGTTGATTTGATAATGCAGAACTGTTTTCCACTGTGATGTAGTTTTTTTTTTCAGTTTTAATGTGCATTTTAACAGGCAATTTCTGTGCACAAAATAATGCTCTTTCTTATCTACACATCTATGTCCAGCATTATAATAGAAGCAGCCTTGTCATGGGGTTAACAGTAGGTCTCCCCATTATAATAGAAGCAGCCTTGTCATGGTTTTAACAGTAGGTCTCCCCATTATAATAGAAGCAGCCTTGTCATGGTTTTAACAGTAGGTCTCCCCATTATAATAGAAGCAGCCTTGTCATGGGGTTAACAGTAGGTCTCCCCATTATAATAGAAGCAGCCTTGTCATGGTTTTAACAGTAGGTCTCCCCATTATAATAGAAGCAGCCTTGTCATGGTTTTAACAGTAGGTCTCCCCATTATAATAGAAGCAGCCTTGTCATGGGGTTAAGAGTAGGTCTCCCATCCATAAACTGAATAGGTAGTTTTAAGGCTCTTTAAACAGAAAATGGTTGTTTGAAGCCAGCTCTGAATGCTCTCACCCTTTCTATTCCCCTTTGCTTCTCTGGGATTAGAAAAGCAGGGTTCAGATACTCTGTTAAGTATTTGAATTCTTGTTTCCCATTGTGTCCACCACTCATTTTTACACTTGTGTGGGTGATTTGGTCTTTCCAATCACCTTGTGTGCAGTTAAACAATGGAAAAATTATGACAGCAGTGGTGACTGAAGACTACAGTGACATGTAAAAATGTTGTGCTGCCTGGCTTTCTTAAGCCACTTTGGTCTCTAAACTGAAGAGTCATAGGATGGGACAGGTGATGGACACGCAAAGCTGGTTTAGCTTTCTTGCCTCTCCTCGCCTCTTTGCTAAGGCTGCCTTTTGGTCGTGCTCCAGTCAGCATGTCCTCAGTCCTGGGAGCCAGAGGTGGAGTGAGAGATTCTCCCTGAGCTGCGGGAGGACGCCCGGCCCATCATCTCCTGGCCCCACTCATGGTGGCTGGACTCCTGCAGGCCCCTTCCTGTCGTCTCAATTGGCAGAGCACAGGAGGCGATGGCAGCTAGGAGGCAGCAGCAGCAGTAGACTGAGAGAGCCAGGTATACAGAAGACTCCAGCATCACCTGCAGGATGGACAGCTAATTTATTATCTTAACATTTTCTCATATTGTGCTGTATTTAAATGTGAAAACTGGATGTTACCTGTGCAACAAAAGGTGTAATGAGGGCACCAACTCTGGCCATTCCACTGCTTGTTCCCAGCCCCAAAGCCCTGGTCGCTGTTGGGTACACCTGCAGAGTTTCAGATAACACTGAGGATTCTGCCGCTTTACTCGGCTATTGATTTGATCTGAGCTTGCACCAAGAGCTACATATAGGGTTTTAGGCAGTACAAGCAAAATACTGCGCTATGGCTAGATGATTTACCTCTGGAGTGTACACATAGGCAGCCTGGAAGCCTCCTGCAATAAAGGCTCTGGCAATGACTATTAACACTGTCATTGATACTCTGCAAGAGATAAAACAGTGGCAGCATGAGTGGATAATCAGAGAATCCACAATTTATAAAATATTGTAAGTGCAACTTACCGCCCAATACAACCATACAGTGGAATAATGCACAGAGAGAAAACAAGGAAACACAAGGCCATGGTCCTTCTTCTTCCCAGTCGATCAATTGCCCACAGTGTCACCAGCAGACCTATGCAACATAAATGCAATCAGTGACTTCATTCAAACAGCATATATACAACTAGATTGTCCTCTAATTGATAGTAAATATACTAATACTTGGTAATTACATTTTTCTATCAAAATGCACTAAAACGAGTAATACACCATTTACAACATCATTTCATAGTAATCACTGTCATTGTGCATTGAAACACCAACTATTAAGAATAATGATTATTAAATAATAATTGAAAATAAAAAAAAAAAACATTTTGAAGAGAGTTCAGTAATGTGTACCTGGGAATTCAGCTAACGTTGTCCATAACAGGTCTTTATAATCATCAGAGTTCAGATATTTACACTCCAAGCTGCATCGGGGCTCCCTCTTATTACCTTTAGACACTAGGGGGCGGTATAAAACAAACAGGATATTATGTGGTACACTGGCTCAGTCTTATGCCTGTGATGCATTTGTGGATTTTTGCACAAACATAACTTTATAATCAAACCCGTACGCACAGAAAAAGGCCCTCATATATACTGTAGACCTTTTTCACAGCATACATTTGACTTGTTATATCAGGAAAAGCACAGGAGTAAATGATAACAATAACAATCCATTAAATATTAAATGTCCCAGCAAGCCATTGTTAGTGTTAACAATCACGCCTGTGCCTCTCTTGTTGTGATGTCAAAATTGCTGCAATGGCTGACTTCAAGAAGCCTAATTTGTTGGGTACTGGATGCTCTGTTGGTGTCTGACTCACTTCCACATGCACCCCCCTCCTGAAACAACTCTGTGGTCAGAAGTACCAGTCCATAATAGGAGAAGGCATTGGCAAACCTGAGGACACACAAAATGAAACAGTGCTAATTCATAAACAGTGACAAACTTCAAATATACTGTATCACAGAATAATATGTCTATGCCCTAGGAGGATATAAGATAAAATCAGCACATAGTAACTGAGGATATGACTTGGCACTATCATTCACTTTATTTACCAAATAAACCAAAGCAGAACTGTAGTCCAGCGAAAGTCTAATGAAAATAAGTCTTGAATCTTCCCACGATCCTCCTTAAAAGAAGAGATGTAAAAAAATTAATACACAAATGGCAACATAATAGATGGACATACATAAATAACATTTACACTCAGAGCAGACTCTACCTGTCTGGCAGCGACTAGTTTTCCCAGTGGCATGGGTGCTCTGTTCTCTGTGGCAATGCGCTTCAGTGTGGCCAGAGCTTTTTCTTGGTTCCCAGTCAGCACATCATATCGAGCACTCTCTGGCAGCCACTGCTCCCATCCCCCCAAAAACATGCCAGCTGACAAAGCTGTAATTTGTTATACTTGTATATTCAAGACTGATAACTTCATACTCACAAAACATAGAATGGCAAAGATGAAGAGAGGAATGGTAGAAAGGCCAAGGAGCCAGCGCCAGCCCAGAGTGGGCATCACCAGGATGGCTAAAAGCACCTCAAACACAGTGCCCAATGCCCAAAATATCTGCAAGGCAACAGCAGTGAATGTAAGCTGTGTTTCAGTGCTGCACAGTTAAGGTTGCATATTTTATTTCTGTATGAATTTACATTAATCTGTGGCTAGGTAGATTGTAGTCTATACCTCAATCAGCAAGATGCATGTTGCTCTGGACCTCATAGGCAGAAATTCAGCATACAGTGTCACCCTTACAAGGAGAGACACTTCACTTTTAATTTGAACTTACTGTAACAATTAATTACAGTGTTGCTTTTAGAAACGTAAACGAGGGTCACTCACGACTGTGGGGCTCCTCCAATGCCAAAGCCCACCAGTGCACGGAGGATGAGGATCCACCCATAAATAGGTGCAAATGCACTCATTAGGCCATAGAACATAGTCCACAACACACTCATCTTCAGACCCTGTGTGTGCATATGATCAAGACATAACAAACTGTTGAATAAATTACAGTGATGTGACAAAACAAAAGGTATAAACTCATGATAAACTTTGTCTTCTCCATGTCAAACACAAGTGGTCCTAGAACTTACTGTCTTTCTGCCATATTTGTCGGATATATTTCCCCAAAGAGAGGAGCTGATCATCATTCCAATAAACACTGCCTACATTAGTGAAAAAAACAATGTTTATTGGATAAGAAATGTAAGTGTTCACTGTAGTTTTTTTTATAGCAATCAAAATATTGCAACACATATCAGACTATCAGAAGCTCTGCTGTTTTCCATGTTACTACAAGTACAAACACTTATTTCAAAAACAAACCCTAAGTACTGATCAATAGCTGTCAGTACAGCCATATAGCACTGCAAGCAAGAGAGAGCCATTACCGATGTGAGCAGTGCCACCTCGAGGCTGGGCAGTCTCCATTCACAGTGGAGCTGTGGGGCTAAGATGCTGAGGATCATCATCTCCATAGCATCAGCCATCTGATCAAACAAAAACCCCAGAAACACACAGTAAATCATATTAGTCACAGTACCTTGAATGGTGTTT